TCCTATGTTAGCGAGAGCGTCGACCTTGCTATTTTGATCCCGAGGTACATGTTGTAGAGTCCACTCTTTGAAGCGATGTTATGTTACCTGCAGTTTATCCAGGTATCTTTGCATTCGTTCCTCTCTGACCTAGAATGTCCCATTAACTTGGTTCACCACAAGGAGGGAGTCACACTTAGCTTCAATCACCTCTATCCCTAAGCTTTTGGTCAGTTCAAGACCTGCAATCATGGCCTCATACTCGGCCTCGTTATTGTTGATACCCAATTTTTTCCTCATATATTTTTATAATGCATATATACTTTCGAAATAGTGCATGAGCATCAACCAGTATTTTTCTATAATTTTCTATTTTTTTAAAAGGATTTTAATTAATTTATTCTAGCATTTTATTATCCAAATAATTACTGATTGGATCACAAATAATTTTATGATGATTTATTACTTGATTTTTTTATCATTTATATTTATATTAAGCTTTAATCGTTTTATGCATAATTATATTCGTATCTTTAAGCTATAATTGCAATAACTTTATAATATTAGCCCGTATATGCATAATTATATTATTTACACGGAAAATGACTTTTTTGTATTTTTATAATATTAAGTAATTATTTTGAATCATTTTTATGCATAAAAATCATTTTTATCATTCATTAACTATTTTTTTTACAAATCATTTTATCAATTAATTAGGTATTTAACAAATAGCCTCTCTTAATTTGGATTAATTTTGGACTTGGCCCAAAATACTACCCTACCCCAATTAAATAACCCTGATCCATAACCCATAGCCCAACTTCTTATTGATCCGCCCAACCCCAGATCAAATCCTGACCGTTGATCTTAGAGATCAACGGCCCAGGATGTTATTTCCTTTTTAATTAACCCCTAACCCCCCAAACCCTACTCACTTCCCATAACTCGCCGCCCCTGTTTCCCTTCCCTCCTCGCTTCTCTCTCAAACTCTCCCCTAACCCTAGCCGACGTCACCTGACCCATTCAATCCATAGGGTTTCCCATCGATCTTAGGCCCCATCGGGCCTCCTACCTCTACTGGTTGTTTGATTTCTTTGTTGTTTGATGGAATCTCAAGGAGATTAGAACAAGACTCGGTCCAAACCTTTCATTTTCTCGATGAATCTGCCTGTGTTCATCTCTATGTTTGTGAGTACTATTATCTTCATGTTTATGGCTTAAACCTCTGGTTCCAAATCGGATTTTTTCTCACCTCTGTCATTTTTTAAAACCCTAGTCACTTTTTACTCGAGTCTGTTCAGATCACTATAGATCTGAGATGATTTTGAGTTTATCTGATATTTCTCTTTAAAAATCTTCTGTTTTTCTTGTTATTAATCGATTTTAGCTTTTCTCCAAAGCTAGGGTTTCATCTTTACATTTCTGCAATAATTTTTCTAAAAGAGTTTGAGTTTTTTAACTCCTGTTCTCTTTGTTTGCTCGACTGGTTTTCATATCTATGTTCTAATCCATTGGGTTTCTAATCATTTCACTATTTGTTCTGATATTTTTCCGTTATTCTTTGGCCCTGCCAATTAATAGAGATTAACTGATTTTGTTTGCCTAATTATTGTTCCAAATTATATTTTCTATTGAAATTGGTATTTCACTGCGATTTTATTTATTTTTCCTTATTTGTGACTCGTAATTGGTACTGCTTGCCTTAATTAGGTTACTAGCTTGATTTCTGGGATTTGATTATTTTAACCGGCCCGTAAATGGTCTTTGATTTATTTGGTTACATTATTAAACCCCAAACTTGGTTGTTAAATGATTCTCCCTAATTTAAGGGGTCTTTCCCGGATCCTGCTGTGTTAATTGATTGGGTCTAGCCCTAATTAACTGGTTAATTTATTTGCATGCCTTATGTGTGAAATCTTAACTTTCGTTGCCTTATTTGTTCTACTTTGCTGAATGCTTTATAAACCTCCCCATTCTTACTTTTTAGAACACACACAAAACACACGAAAAACACACTGAAAGATACAAAAAGAAACACCTACACACATATAAACTCTTACTCACACGCTTACAACTGTAGTTCTTTCTGTTACTTCTATTTGCTATTTTGTCTAGCCGGCTAAAAGCCAAGGCTAGAATCTTGGATTCCACCTGCCTTCACCTTCCTGCTTGCTACCTCTTAACTGGTATACCTCAATTTTTGTTATCATGCTCTCCTCTATATGCTATGTAGTCAGTTCATTATAAATTTCAACATGCTTCTGTTTGCTCTATGTTCCAGTTTATTGCTCTCCTAACTAGCATGCCTTAATTCCTGTTAACTTATCATGTTCTACATGTTAGTATGATTAGTTTACCTTAGCTTGTCTCTGTTTAGTCCATGACACTAGTTACTTGTTTCTGAAAAATAGCATGTTTAAATCCTATTACCCCACCCCGTTCTATATGGCTGTTTGGCTAGTCATTTTAATTTCAGCATGTTTTCCTCTACTTAATACCTGTCTACATGATTTCACCTAGTGATAACAAGTAAATCGAGTTAACTCTAGCAATGTGAACTTTGTTTTGATTGCCTGGCCCCTACTAAGAAGTTGTTTAGGGATTATGAATGTGTGTGGTCAGTTCTGTCTATGATTCAAGTGTTCCTTTTTTGTTGTGATTGTTTAATTTTTTGTATCTATATCTGAACCAATCTGCTGGAATATGGTTCTGTTCTGTTTCTGTTCACTTCTGAAAAATCAAACTGCTTTCTTTCTGAAACTGTCCCCTACCCTTATACACTATTTTCAAACTTCTACTCTTAATTATCTAGGGACCTATCACCCCCAGTGTGAGCACTGCCGAGGGTCCAGGAGACTCTTCCGAACTCTGACACACTGGTTTGGCCTTCCAAACTCTTTGCAAAACTGTTTCTTTGAAAAGGTTCTTTGCTCGGGGTCCCTGAGGGGGAAATTTGACACACCAGAAGCCCATTTGTGTGTTATGAACTACCTGTGGACATCAGACTTGCTTGAAGGTCTGGCTTCCAGGTTGATATTGGGCCTGCCAAGGCACCTATAGTATCATGATTTTTTCATTGTGTAATTTATTCGTAATGGTCTATAATTGTCACGCCCCAAAATCCGAGGAGCTCGACCGGCGCTCAACCGAGTAAACCCGACTGAGCAAGCCTGTTAGGTTTCATTCTACCCAAACAACCTCATGATTAAATAGGAGATGAACTCCATTAATCAGATTTAGTAAGTATTTCATTAACAACTTTCATTTCATTTTCATTAGCAACTTAAATCATAATTATCAAAATATTACAAGTCTTATAAATCTTTGCCAAACATCAGTGTTTCTACTTTATTTCCAATACCCGACACTACCCACAACCTGTCTACGGAGCCTATAAACATAACTCAAGAGTAATGTAATATGGAAATGCCGGTAACAAGGCTCTGGCTATACCTCAAATACAACGTACAAGACAAATAGATGAAACAGATCCCCGAAATGAAGTGGGGCTCACCAAGTCAGCTGAAAAGATGATGCGGCACTAGCTGCGACCAACACCGCCTGCTATAGGAACACCTACATCCATTTAAAGACGTAGTGCCCTGGCAAAAGGGACGTTTGTGCCATCGAATAGCACTAGTATGTATAACTAAACACCATCTAGTTAGAAAGAACTATCGTACAAGAATAGAGAAATAACAAGCACCTTCTCATTAGAGAGAACTATCAAACAAGAATAAAGAAATCATAAAGGTCAATCAAAAGCTTTAACAATCACCACATCATCAAATAAACGAACCATATAATCTTTCACATTATTTCCATAACTTAGTTTGGGGAACTTGATATTGTTCATCATCATCCATAATACCACCGCTTTCTTGGGCGGAGTCCGATCACGATCCGATCAGCTAGGTTGCATCACTTGAGACATATACCTCAATTACAATCTCATTCTCAATTTCCGGAATTCAATATCAGCACAATACCACCATATGTGCGGCATGGTGTCCGATCACGGCCCAATCAGCTAGGCCGCCTAACCTAGGCGTTGTTCCTTTCTCATTAATCATCTCATTTCAATCGATACTTGACATAAGTCAACTTATAGGCACTTGGGGCCTCAATTATCACATCATACTTGGCACTAGGCCACATTCATAACTCAATCTCTTCTTTCCCACATTTCATATCATTTCCACATATTTCACGTCAATATCAATCTCAACAACAAGCCTTTCAATTCAAGATGTCAAGTACACATGAGAAATTCAAGTAATACGCATATAGAGGAATTCTCATGATATGGCACAATAATCACAATTTAAACTTGACTTGAAATCTAGGGCATTTAGCATATACTTCACATTCTTCAATCTCAATTTATTGTCTAAGCATTTCAATACACGATTCATATTCCATGCACCTTTTCATGTTATCAAAAATAGCACATTGATCACATTGGAATGCATCTTTAACAAATATAGGGTCACAACACCAATTCATGTAAAGCATCAATAAAAGCAAGAATCCAAAGTTTAGTCTTACCACATTCACACAAGCATCGATAGAGCTCAATTTCTAAAAGACGGGGTTTTAGCCATACATACCTCAATATAGCTTTCCTTACTCTTTACAAATTTCGGAACTCATAGCACTTCGATCTATTGAGTAAGAATTACAAAGTAATCGAGAATTAGCAATGAGATTGAGATTCTAGCTTGGTTGAAGCATATTATCAAGCACTAAAGGTGCATCATGATCTTAGGTCCCTTTTGGGAGAAATTTTTATCATTTTATACCCCAATTGCTTTCTCTTTAGTTCACTAACTCCCAATACCCTATGGTTTGATATGCATGTAAGGAATCCATTCTTATACTCATGAATCACCTCACTAATTACCCCTTATAGCCAAGAATAGAAATAAGAGCTAAGATGATGGAGTCTTACCTCTTGGGATGAAGATCTAGGGGCCTTCACTTGATTATCATCAAGGATTTAGCAAGATTTNGTATTACTTCCCAATCCAATTTATTCTGCCTTTTCCTTGGGATTGGTTCTTGTTTGTACATCGTTATTCTATATTCTATCTAACTCCTATTTTGTAGCTGCTGCGCAGCTACTTATTTACGTAGGAGCTATAAATGTTTTAATCATTTTTGCTGTGATGTTCATGAATGGTTCAGAATATTACAAAGATTTTCATCTTTGGACCGTAGGAGATGGAATTACTTCGATGGTTTGTATAAGTCTTTTTATTTCACTAATTACTACTATTTCAGATACGTCATGGTACGGGATTATTTGGACTACAAGATCAAACCAGATTATAGAGCAAGATTTTATAAGTAATAGTCAACAAATTGGAATTCATTTATCAACAGATTTTTTTCTTCCATTTGAACTGATTTCAATAATCCTTTTAGTTGCTTTAATAGGTGCAATTGCTGTAGCTCGTCAATAAAAAATTTCTATTAAAACTTGGAATTCAAATAAAATTTTGTTCTGTCTTATCACATTCATTTTACTTCAATTCTATTTGAATTCCTGTTGTATAAATAGAAAGACTTTAGGTCAATCTAGTACCAATATATTTCTTTGTTCCATACTTGTTATATACTAGTCAATTAAATCGGTTGAATTGTTGTTCATATTGAAAGGAGTCGAGATTGATAAGGAGTTGTTTAATGATTCTCGAACATGTACTTGTTTTGAGTGCCTATTTATTTTCTATCGGGATCTATGGATTGATCACAAGTCGAAATATGGTTAGAGCCCTTATGTGTCTTGAACTTATATTGAATGCGGTTAATATAAATTTTGTAACATTTTCTGATTTTTTTGATAATCGTCAATTAAAAGGAGACATTTTCTCAATTTTTGTTATAGCTATTGCAGCCGCTGAAGCAGCCATTGGACTGGCTATTGTTTCATCAATTTACCGTAACAGAAAATCAACTCGTATCAACCAATCAAATTTGTTGAATAATTAGTATTAATCATCTAGATTCTAATATTGATAAATCGATTTTAAGTAGCATGTTTGCTACGTAAGGTGTGGTCTTGTTTGCAAAACATAAGAAATCAAAGTATTTTGGCCCTCTCTCATATCTCATAAACCAATCCAGAAGGGGGTTGATTAGAAAATTATGATAACTCATTGATTCATCTGGTATATAAATATATGATTATATGATTCGTTTCTAAGTTTACTAGATCGAAAATTTATAACATTCAAAAACGTATAGACCCAATGTCACATTCAGTAAAGATTTATGATACGTGTATAGGATGTACTCAATGTGTCCGAGCTTGCCCCACCGATGTATTAGAAATGATACCTTGGGACGGTTGTAAGGCTAAACAAATTGCTTCTGCTCCACGAACAGAGGACTGTGTTGGTTGTAAGAGATGTGAATCCGCCTGTCCAACAGATTTCTTGAGTGTCCGAGTTTATTTATGGCATGAAACAACTCGCAGTATGGGTCTAGCTTATTGATACGTTCGAGAAAACTCTACTTGAATCCATTTAATTTTTTTTTACCGACAAACCTGTGCTCGAAAATAAAAATATTTTGAGCACGGGTTTTTATGGTCCAAGTGTATCTTGTCTTTACTACGAATTATTTTCCTTGGTTAACAATAATTGTAGTTTTTCCAATATTTGCGGGTTCCTTAATTTTCTTTCTTCCCCATAAAGGAAATAGGGTAATTAGGTGGTATACAATATGTATATGTATTTTAGAACTCCTTCTAACGACTTATGCGTTTTGTTATCATTTCCAATCGGATGATCCATTAATCCAACTAGTGGAGGATTATAAATGGATCAATTTTTTTGATTTCCATTGGAGATTAGGAATAGATGGACTTTCTATAGGACCCATTTTATTAACAGGATTTATCACTACTTTAGCTACTTTAGCGGCTTGGCCAGTTACTCGAGATTCTCGATTATTCCATTTTCTCATGTTAGCAATGTACAGTGGTCAAATTGGATCATTTTCGTCTCGGGACCTTTTACTTTTTTTCATCATGTGGGAGTTAGAATTAATTCCTGTTTATCTACTTCTATGCATGTGGGGAGGAAAGAAACGTCTGTACTCAGCTACAAAATTTATTTTGTACACGGCGGGGGGTTCCGTTTTTCTCTTAATGGGAGTTTTGGGTGTTGCTTTATATGGTTCTAATGAACCAACATTAAATTTTGAAACATCAGTTAATCAGTCATATCCTGTGGTTTTAGAAATAATATTCTATATTGGATTTTTTATTGCTTTTGCTGTCAAATCGCCCATTATCCCCCTACACACATGGTTACCAGATACCCATGGAGAAGCACATTACAGTACTTGTATGCTTCTAGCCGGAATTTTATTAAAAATGGGAGCGTATGGATTAATTCGAATCAATATGGAATTATTACCTCATGCCCATTCTATATTTTCTCCTTGGTTGATGATAATAGGTACAATACAAATAATCTATGCAGCTTCAACATCTCTTGGCCAACGGAATTTAAAAAAAAGAATAGCCTATTCCTCTGTCTCTCATATGGGTTTCATAATTATAGGAATTAGTTCTCTAACCGATACGGGACTTAATGGAGCCCTTTTACAAATAATATCTCATGGATTTATTGGTGCTGCACTTTTTTTCTTGGCGGGAACGACTTATGATAGAATCCGCCTTGTTTATCTTGACGAAATGGGCGGAATAGCTATTCCAATGCCAAAAATGTTCACGATGTTCAGTAGCTTTTCGATGGCTTCCCTTGCATTACCAGGTATGAGTGGTTTTGTTGCCGAATTGATAGTTTTTTTTGGAATAATTACCGGCCAAAAATATCTTTTAATTCCAAAAATACTAATTACTTTTGTAATGGCAATTGGAATGATATTAACTCCTATTTATTCATTATCTATGTCACGCCAGATGTTCTATGGATACAAGCTATTTAATGCCCCGAAGGATTCTTTTTTTGATTCTGGGCCGCGAGAGTTATTTCTTTCGATCTCCATCTTTTTACCCGTAATAGGTATTGGTATATACCCGGATTTCGTTCTTTCATTAGCAGTTGACAAGGTCGAAGTTATTCTATCTAATTTTTTTTATAGATAATTTGGATGACTGAAATAAAAAAACCTATGTTTGTTTTGAAAAACATTCTTGGACAATGAAAAAAAGAAGACTTTTTTTCTTCTCTTAACTCTTAAGTTAAGTAAAAACAATGAAATTGAACTACATATGGTAGAAAACCGTGTGAATCAAATATTGTATTGATGATTCACACGGTCCGCACGCTGGTTCATACAATGCGCCGCCCGCTCTTGTATTTGTAATAACTTGTCTTGAATTCAATTAAATGTTGATGGAAAAGAACCATAACTATGTAACCCTATTCCTAAAAGATTGACCCCAAAATAGCATATCCAAATTATAAGAAAGCCTATAGACGCTACAATTGCAGAATTTGCACCCCGCAAATTTCTATTTGTTCGAGTATGTAAATAAATTGCAAATACGATCCAAGTAATAAATGCCCAAGTTTCTTTTGGGTCCCAATTCCAATACGACCCCCACGCTTCATTAGCCCATACCGCTCCCGAAAGGATTCCTATGGTTAAAAAAGTAAATCCTAAACTAATAACCCGATAACTCCAATAATCCAATTGTTGAATCAATTGGGACCTGTAATAATTTTTAGCAGAAAAAAAAGAAGTATTTTGTAAAACATTTTCACCCAAGAAAAATGACTCGTTTAAAAAACCATTGCTCTTATAAAAAAGCTGTCTGTTTTTTCGAAATGTAATCACTAGAAGTGCTACTGATAATAATGATCCACATAAAAGGGCTGCATAGCCCAATATCATCATACTTACGTGCATTATTAACCACTCGGATTGAAGAGCAGGTACTAATATCACAGATTGGTGTATTTCAGTTAAAATCCCTGACGTAGCAAAGCCTTGGGTAAAAATAGCACTAGGGCCAGTTATTTTACTTAAAATTAAAACATTTTTTTTGAAATACGGAATTATATGAATAAGGGAGAAACTCCATGAAAGGAAAATTAATGATTCATATAAATCGCTTAGTGGGAAATGTCCAGAAGAAATCCAACGAGTAACTAATAATCCTGTTATACAGAAAAAAGTAACTATTATGCCCTTTTCTCTGATGAATCGTATAGTTTACGATTTCATCGACTAAAGGGTTATCAAATGAATTGTAATTACAATTGAAACGATCGAAAAGGAAATGTGAGTTAATATATGACTCTAAGGTTGAAAATATCATAAAAAATCTTAAAAAAGAAGAGTCCCTTAATTACATAATTCTAAAAAGGAAATCGGGAATTGAATTCATTATAAGATCTATTTATCCTTTTTAGAAGACGGTACAATATCAGCATAATACCACCATATGTGCGGCATGGTGTCCGATCACGGCCCGATCGGCTAGGCCGCCTAACCTAGGCGTTGTTCCTTTCTCATTAATCATCTCATTTCAATCGATACTTGACATAAGTCAACTTATAGGCACTTGGGGCCTCAATTATCACATCATACTTGGTACTAGGCCATATTTCATAACTCAATCTCTTCTTTCCCACATTTCATATCATTTCCACATATTTCACGTCAATATCAATCTCAACAACAAGCCTTTCAATTCAAGATGTCAAGTACACATGAGAAATTCAAGTAATAAGCATAGAGAGGAATTCTCATGATTTGGCACAATAATCACAATTTAAACTTGACTTGAAATCTAGGGTATTTAGCATATACTTCACATTCTTCAATCTCAATTTATTGTCTAAGCATTTCAATACACGATTCATATTCCATGCACCTTTTCATGTTATCAAAAATAGCATATTGATCACATTGGAATGCATCTTTAACAAATATAGGGTCACAACACCAATTCATGTAAAGCATCAATAAAAGCAAGAATCCAAAGTTTAGTCTTACCACATTCACACAAGCATCGATAGAGCTCAATTTCTAAAAGACGGGGTTTTAGCCATACATACCTCAATATAGCTTTCCTTACTCTTTACAAATTTCGGAACTCATAGCACTTCGATCTATTGAGTAAGAATTACAAATTAAATCGAGAATTAGCAATGAGATTGAGATACTAGCTTGGTTCAAGCATATTATCAAGCACTAAAGGTGCATCATGATCTTAGGTCCCTTTTGGGAGACATTTTTATCATCTTATACCCCAATTTCTTTCTCTTTAGTTCACTAACTCCCAATACCCTATGGTTTGATATGCATGTAAGGAATCCATTTTTATACACATGAATCACCTCACTAATTACCCCTTATAGCCAAGAATAGAAATAAGAGCTAAGATGATGGAGTCTTACCTCTTGGGATGAAGATCTAGGGGCCTTCACTTGATTATCATCAAGGATTTAGCAAGATTTTTTGGAGTAATTTGATGGGGAGAACTTTCCCTCTCTAAAACCCCTCTCTCTCACTTAAGAAAAGCTCAGGAAAATACTCAAAATGAGCTATAGCACCGAATATATCGATAGGGGGTCGAGTTTAAAAATTAGAAAATTAACTCTCCGATGTCGGGTTTGCTATAGCAAAACGGACCACAAAACGAGAATTCTGGCCGCATAATGCACCGCAAAATTGGCGCCCAAAACTAGGCTACACTGGCCCAGTTTGCGACAGAAATGCGACCGCAAAGTCAGAAATGCGACAGGTTTTGCGGTCGCAAATTTGACATAGGATCGCATTTTTCCAGCCTTTGGTAATTTGAGCATAACTTTGTGTAGGAATGTCCAAATGACGAACGGTTTAAAACCTTATACATATTTAGATATGCTCGTTCAATGTATGGACTAGTGCAAGCTCATTTCGAATTTTAGCCTATTATGAACTTTTCCAGTTTTTTCTTAGACTTAGGCCTTTCCTTGGGCCCCAAATTACTTACCATAAGACTTATACACATATTTACCAAATCCAATTGATGTACACCATGTTAATAGCACATAAACAATATTATAATAAGCCTACGTGGCACCACGAGATCCTAGGTTACTTAGCGAAATTTCCCAGGGCCTTACATTCGCCCCCCCTTAGGATCATTCGTCCTCGAATGAGGAGTAGAGTCCGACTTAAACCGCTTAATATAATAAATCTCTTTTCTCACCTAA